TAACAGCAATAAAAATTACAGAATACCTAGGAATTACCTTAATAAGAAATGAACAAAAACTAAAGATTTAAAAACCCACTGATGAACACAAAAGAAAAATTGATCAAAAGGAAAAGGAAAGGCATGCTCTGTTTTAGTATGAGAAAAAACTCGACATGGTATAAATGTCAATTACTCATATATTTTTAATCCTTTTAATACAAAAAATAATGACTTTTTTAAACTAGACAAGATAACACTGTAGCTTATTTTTTAAAAGTAAATAGGCAAAAAACAGCCAGGAAAACTGTATCAGTGAAGAGCAATACAGGAGAATGATCCTTGTTGAAATATAAGGCCTTAACAGTTATAGCAGTGCTGTCTGGCTCATGAATAAATAGACCAAGTCACAGGATAGAATGTCTAAAAATAGACCAAAATACATAAGAGGATTAAGGATGACAATTCAGATCAATAGGAAAAAGACAAGCTATTTAATTTATGCTGATGGGACAACTGGGTAGCCATCTGGGGGAAAAATTAAAATAGAATTCAATCTTACAATGTACCCAGAAAAAAATTCTTAATCGAAAACTCAAAAAAGAAAGAAAGCCATAAATGCACTAGAAGAAGACAAGGAAAGATCTTTCTGACTGTGACTCCACTATCCAGAAGTCTTAAAAGAAGACTGATAAATTCAATCACACAGTCAAAGCTTATGTGTAACAAAACGAAACAAACCAAAGAATCAAAAGCAAAAAGCCTATAAGCAAAATGAAAAGACAATGACAAATTGGGAAACACATTTGAAACTTATTGTAGACAAAAACCCAACATCCCTAAAATATAAAATGTGTTTCAACAGATAAGAAAAAATAAATAAATAAAAATGGATAAAGGATATGAATACATAATTCACCAAAAAGAAAAAAATAACTGGGCCTAAAATACCTGGAAAAGATGCATAAGCTCCCTTGTAATGTAGGAATACAGATCAGAACGACTTGTCATTTTCACCTGTCAGATGGATAAAAAGACAAAAGTTTGATAACTCACTGAGTTGATTAAAA